GGCATTCAAAAGCTGGGGGTTTCTTGAGGTCGATTTGAAGTGGTATCAATGTAAGAAAGTGCATGGCTTTGATTTGAAATGTCAGCTTTAAAAATAACTTTTTTGAAAAGTGTTTTTGAGTTCAAGACCTTTCACATTCTTCATGAAATCTTGGTGTTCAAATAGATTCTGCTATATGCTGTAATTCACTTTCTTATCTTGGCTATGAATTAACTGATAACAAAATTTGCTATATTAAAGGTATCCCACGTCACAGAAGGTTTAGCAGTAGTGATTTGGGAAAGGTCTGTGCTTGAACATCTAAAGCAACAAGGCAATTTTTGTAAGTGAATGACACATGGTATTCATACGAGAGCTCAGTGATGCTATGAACTGCAGGACCCGTGTCACGGATCTGCGTGATGACAGGATCTGTCCAACGGGGGCATTTTTATAATGCAGTCTCACTGCTTGCCCCCTGGAAAAACCCACGTACAACATCAGCCGTTTGTCAGCACGTTTGGGTCACACGCTGCGCCAGGCGCATCCCCCTCTGGAAGTGACCGAGGGCAGTTCCCCGTCCTGCCCGGCTGAGCGGGGACAGTGCCCGGCCCAGCCCTGCCGCGCCCCCGCTCTCCCCGGCCGCGCCGATAAATGCGCGGCGGTGCGGGCGCGGCGGGGCGATGGAGGCGGCGGGCGGGCGGGCGCTGCTGGCCGCCGTGGGGCTGCTGTCGGCGCTGAGCGCCGCGGGCACGCTGTTCCTGCTGGCGCAGTGGCGGGAGCTGGGCGCGGCGCTGCGGGAGCTGGAGGCGGCGGGGAACGGCTCCGTGCGGGGGCTGCCCCCCGGCCCCGCGCCCGCCGCCCGCACCAAGCGCAGCCGCCGCGGGGAGCGCGCCCGCGGCCACGTGCGCGCCGAGAGCGACGAGATGCTGATGATGCTCACCTACTCCATGGTGCCGGTACGGCCCCGCCGGGGCTGCCAGCGGGCCGGGGGGCGGGAGAGCCGGGCTTGGCCCGCCTGCAGCCCCGGGGCGGGCCCTCGCTCGCCTGGGCTCCTGCTTGGCGGCTTCACCTGGAGAGAACGCGGTGCTCTGCCCCGCTGCCTGCTCTGTGAATGCGGCGCTCAGAGCTCGCAGGGTACCACCCAACTTTGCAAACAAAGGGAGGGAGGCTGGGTGTGATGGGTGCTCACAGGGGTCTTAGGATGAGACTCTGTGTTTCTATGTTTCAGATGGCTTGATTTATTATTTTTTGATATATATTATATTAAAACTATACTAAAAGAATAGAGGAAAAGATTTCATCAGAAGGCTGGCTAAGAATAGAAAAAAAATGAATAAGGAAAGCTTGTGACTGACTGAGACAGTCTGGACAGCTGGACTGTGATTGGCCATTAATTAGAAACAACTACACGAGACCAGTCACAGGTCCACCTGTTGCATTCCACAGCAGCAGATCATTATTGCTTACATTTTGTTCCTGAGGCCTGTCAGCTTCTCAGGAGAAAAAATCCTAAAGAAAAGGATTTTTCAGAAAATATCATAACTACAGTTGGGGGTTTAGTGAAACTCCAAAATTTCGTTGCAATAAGAAGCTGTCCGGTTTCCAGCGTTCCTGGTTTTTAAAACTAACACCACTAACAGAGCCCCTGTGTGTTTTGTGCTGTTCAGCATCTCAGCATGGGGCACTGGACATCACCTGACATCTCTTTGAAACTGATAATGCCCTTCCAGTAAGTGCTGAATTTGAGGCAGTATTTGATAGATCAGGAGAACTGTATGTCCTTTCTCTGGTAGAACAGCACAGTTTTTTGCACATCAGTGAAAAGATGATGTTGCTCAGTAGGAACTAATGTCATGTAGTTGAAAAATTACACAGGTTGTATAGTTGAAACATTTTGAATAGATTGAAATGTTTTTGCCTTTTGAGCTAGAAGAAATGCAAGAAAAATATTACTATTGAGAGAACTTTAGTGGAAACTGTTCCTGTAAGGGCTTCAGGTCTACATGCACAAAAGTCTAACTCAGGCTCTTACTCGTGTATTTATGTTGCTGGTTTAAAAAACTGTTTACAGAAAATACCTCTTCAGTCATGTTCTGATGGCATTTTTGTTAATAAACTATTGCAATCCTCATTTTACAGTGATAACATCTCCATTAATATTAGAGCTAATGAGAGTGTAAAGCACGGGTGTTCAAAGCATGGAGTCTTGATAATGACTTTGTTTGGGTCTTAGAATATTTTTTTTTTTTAGCTAGACCCTTTAAGTTGTTATGCTTTGAGTTTAGAATTTGCAGCACAAAACTTCTGCAAAAAGTAAAAATCTGTAAAGTCACATCGTTTTGTACTCAAAACTGTCTTTTAAAAAACTTCTTTTAGGAAGTCATCCCCGGATTTGGCAGCTGCAGTTTGTTTTGCTCCATCTGATATGAATTGCTTTTTTTGAGTCCAAAAGATCCACAAATAAAATTATTGGGGAAAGGATTCTGATCCTTATAGGGCTTGAAGACAGTCAATGCCATTTCTGCTAGGTGCTCAGATTGGCATCATTAGCTGCAGGTGAGTGTCTGGATAATTTTGACAATGGCCATTAAGTGTGCTACTCTGCTGTCAATAGGTACCATGATTACATTAATTACATTACATTAATTTTATTGCCCTCTCCAAATAGGACTGAGCACACTGTGTATATTTGAACAGCACGTGGCCAGACTCTGCACTTGTGCCTCTAAATGTCCACTGTGACTCTGCTGTGTGTGATGTGCTTCATTTAAACCTGTGTATCCTGCAGGGAGCTGCCTGGGAGGGTTTGATGCCTTTTCATTCTTACTCCCATCAAACATTTTTCATTCTGGCCACTGCACAGTGTGTAACTGTGTGCAGAATCATTTGCTCAAGGGGAAAAGAGTCCTTAGAAAAATACTCAAGCACCCCCTCCTCCCACTCCTGCATTTCTGTATTTTGAATCTAACTCCCACTAATGTCATTTGAAGACTTGGCTGCTTTTGTACTGTGAGACAAAGTTCCTCAGAGTTGGTGGGATGACCCGTGTGGCACTTGTGGCCCCTGTTCAATGTGGGCCTGAACAGAGGCTTGGTCTCAACAGATTCTCTCTGGAGATTAGGTTAGAGCTAAATCATGTTAGCTCTAATAACATGAGCATATTTTTTGTTCAGGGCCTCTTATTTAAGTATATGTATATTTATTTTGCAAGTGAGTAAAAATAGGAAACTGGCAAATCTGCTGCTGCAGAAAGGCTGATGGGAGGGTAACAGGCCAAGATTCAAAGTGTGATTTAAGACAGTGCAAGAGATGTGGATACCAATTATCTGAGTAATATTTCATAGTTTAGGGGTTTGATTTATTTTTATTTTTCCACCATTTCTCCATAAGAAAACTAAGATTTTAGCATTTAAATAAGATATTTTTATCTGTAGCTTTTCTTAGTGATGATGCTGGTTGTGAAGGGTATCTTTCATAGCTAAGCTGGAGGTTCTGTCACAGGCTATTTGCACTCCTTGAGTGCCATGTTTTTTAATTGTCGCCTGAGTCACACTGACTGGTAAAAGTAGTGCTGCTGAGATAATTGGAGGGCCCCAAAGCAAGCTGTGATCACTTCAACAACCTCAACAGAACTATTTAAATTAAAATGCAGTTAGAATTAGAGTGCACATGGACAACATGTATTTTACAAATTACAGGGTAGGAGCCAAGTGTTTTTAAAGAATGTGAGGGGAAAGAAAACAAGCATATTCTGACATTCAAAATGAGTTAGCACTTCTCAGCTAATTTAAACTGAGTCTGAAATTCTAAATGTACTGTTCCAGTACAGTCTGGAATCAGTACATTCTCAGCAGGTATCAAGCAGAACAGGAACTCATTGTCAAATATGGTTTGGTTTTGCAGCAAAAGGATACTTTCCACTAAACTAATTATCCTCTATTTGAGTCTGTTAAATTTGGCAGTTGAAACTAATGATGCATTAATTTAAAAAATTATGATTGACAGTGGCAAATAACCTTGCTAGGATTAAACTTCAATCTGCCTTTCAGATTGCCTTGCACTTGTTCCTTCTGTCTCTTGGGACTAGTGCATTCCATTAATTTCTATTAATTGTAGATAGAGTAACTGCACAAAGATCAACAAATGTGCAGCTCTGGGTAAATGGTTCATAAATTATTACTCATTGCACAGCCCTGAAATAGTGACCCTTTGTTTTCTGGCTATAAACATTAGACTTTCCCATAGAGAGCTGAGGGACTTCCAGAGATCATGGTCATAATATTTCTGCTGTTTGTTTTGATGAGTCGCAAAATGTTTTAGTGTTGACTCTCATTATGCAGGACATGTAATGTGAATGTTTGCTCAGCCAAGAACTGTGTATTTTGTAAAGATGACTCCTCTATTGATAAATTTTAGTCTACTCTAGATTAAAAGCCTCTTTATGAACATGTCTTCCAGCTTGATTTAATAAAGACTTGTCTTTTTGCTTGAATTGTTTTGAGTAGATGAAGTTTCATTTCAAATTTGTACATCTTGGCTATTCAAAGATAAGAAAATGCTTACTTGGAACACAGGTCATCTTCCTCCCTGGGTATGCTTCATTAGAAAAGTTTCCATCACTTAATATAAAATAAAATGGAATGTAGTTTTTATTGGCTGATAATTGGATTTTAATACCTTCTACTGATAGAGTCCATGCATGGACAACCACATGTCTTCCAGTAATGTGTGAAGTTTAATGACTAAGTGATGTATGGAGTTTTCTGCCCAAAATTTTATTCATATTTTCAGTAAGGATTAAACTGAGGTCTATTGAACAGAGTCCTATGAGAGAAACACTGCCCAAAGAGATGGATGGTGTCAGTGTTACAGAATTCTGAACAGTTTATTCTAATAAGCACAGAGGGCCAGTATCTTTGGGTTTGTATCTTTGGGTTTGGAATTATTTCTGTAGGTAAAGTGAACTGGATACTTTTATGAAATGCATCATTTTCAACCTTAATTTCTTTGCAATATTAGGTCCGAGTGATGGTGGATTTGTGTAACAGCACAAAAGGGATATGTTTAACAGGTATGTTTGCTGCCTTAAGCATCACACCTATGTTACCTCCAGGAACCCAGAAACAGTGTTTTCAAAGAATCTGAGGTCAATAACTGTGTCAAAATACTGCTATTTATCAGAATTTTAAAAAAGGTTAATATGTACCACTTTTGGAACTTATCTGTACCCTTTGAATATAAATGCTGGAATTTAAGGAGCTCAATTGATGCTCCTTGGAGACATTTCTCTTTGATGTAATTTTCATAAACAAATCTTTTAGACTTGGGTGTTTTAAATACCAGCTGAGGTTTAGTTATAATATTTTTGCAAATGCCACACTTCAGGCCTAACACAGGAGGAATATGCAGGGGGTAGAAACTTTCTTCCTTTGTTACAACTGCAGTGGAGCAGTGGCACTTAGTGAAGTCACATGTCACCAGTGAGGACTGGAGCTGCTGATGACTGAGTCACAAGAAGGTGTGGAAAGTTTTGTGGGGTTTGGTGAAGAGTGTCAGGTAGCAGCCAATTTAAGAGCTACAGTCCAGCTTTGAGGTCTGTCACAGAATGAGCTGTGTTCCTTTTGGAAATGAGAAGATTAGAAAGAAGCCAGATTTATGAGTTAAAGAAAATGCTTCACTTGCTGTCTGGTTTGAATTTTCTATAAGGTCCATTTGACTCAACTGATTAAACATAAATGAGAACTACCATTGTACACACATATGTTAAATAATATTTCTGGAGCTATACATCAGTTCTGATTGCAACAGTGGCTGAAGCACACACAATCTAAGTTGGTTTTTTTGGGCTTCAGACTTGTAAATTCATATTACTTGGTGCCTTTTGCACCTTTTTCTCTCTTAACACCATTATATGAGTGGCTTTCTCTGCTGCAGGCCTCAATGACATTTGTGGCTTTTCAAGCACCTTTCTTATGTATCTGATGCTTGTACAAGGAGCCTCAGCTTTAGGGATGAGGAAGGAATTCAATGCACTAATGGATGTAATATAGTGTGAAAGAAATAGCCATTTACAGGAAAACTGGCAGAAAGATGTTAACTGATATTACTGCCTGTGCTGATTAAAAGGGATGATTCCTGTAATGGTATTGTACAATGGTTTTCACTTTACTCATAATGCTTCATAATTAATGCTGAAAATTGTCACATTTAGGGAAATCTAGTAATTGCTGTTATTTTCTTTTGTAAAAAGTGGTTAAAACAAGAGAGTACTTTGGCTGGATAAAAATGTTCACAGAGTTAATTTGGTTCTTTAATTGCAACTGTCACCTTTGTGTTCTCCAACTCCTTTTCCATTTAAAAATTTTTTTGATGTGCATTGGGGATCACAGATGAGGAATCACAGACATTGTTCTGGTTAATCTTTCTTCACTCTTGCCTGCTATGCTTGCTTCTCTTTAGGGCCCTACATCTAAGCTGTCTAAGAGTGAGGCAGATTTTTCTGTATTAGAAGTTGCTGAATGACTGAAGCAAGTCCAATTTCTAAATGTACCAACCAGTTTCTGTGGGAAGCTTGATACAGACTGGATAAGTCACATGTGAAAAATCTGACTGTAGATATGAATTATAAGACTTTTTTTTTCCTACTTAAATAGTCTTAGTCCTGAATTGCAATCTGTAAGACACAGAAGTGTGGCATGTATTTTTAATGTGTATCCAACAGGATTTTAATTGTGACATTCATCAGTATTGCAAAGCCAATATTCTTTCTCTAGAAGAGGTTTTTGAAGAAGACTCACATAAAGGAAATATCACTGTGAGGTGTCTTGCATCCATGGCTTTGTGAAAGCACCAAAGCCTCTGACAGTGAGGTTACATTGCAGAGGTTGTTGCCAAACTTTTATCAATTGAAATTTGAAAAAAGCAAAACATGTTTATGTAAAGGTGTTACTCTTTTGGCAAGTCTGAGTTACTCCTAATGCTCAGACACTTATTTATAACACAAAGCAGTTAAACAGATACTCATTTTGAAATTGGAGGGATTTTCTTACCCTTTTACTGTTCTGATCTAGTGCTCATCAGTTCAGTTTGGAATTGCTTTGTTTTCTTGCTAGGTTAAACTCACCATTTCTTCTTTCTTGTGTTGTTTTTTTTTTTTTTTTCTTTCTCTTGTTACAGGCCCCCCAGGACCCCCAGGTAAGACACTTGGACAAGTGCACTAACATTTGTGTGTAACTGAAACAGTTGCTGGTATAAAACATTGAAATACAGAAATGTATCTTCCACAAAGTTGTCTTCCTTTGCTAATTAGAAAAAGGGAGGGTTGAATGACTGCCTGCCTTTATAATGCTTGTATTTAAGTCAGTTCATGCCCACTCTGAGAGAGGGGAGGTTTCAGACATTTTAATTTTCTAGTGGAGGGAGTAGAACATTTGATCAAAACCAAATTAATATGTTTAAGTAGCATCTAGGTGAAGAGACTAATTTATATATTAACCTCCCAAGGAAATGGATATTATAATTTAACACTAAAATCATCTTTTAAAAAAATATTGGTTACTTATTATACCTTCCCACCTCCCCCATAACATTTCCTCCTTTCTTATTGAATTCTGTCTCAGTTGTCACTCAGGTGGTTGCAAGGCTATGTTATGAATGGTTATTTGTTTTCTTTCTGTGCTGCTTAACCTGTGAGTCTGCTTGGAGCAATTCTCTGTATCAGAAAAGTATGAGTTACATTTTGCTGGGGCTTAAATATATAAATAAACATGCTGCATGTAGATATAGTAGATTTCAGGGTAACTTGCATTCAACAGAGAAAATCCAGTTATGCTGTTTGGTTTGATCAGGGCCTCCTGGGCTGCCTGGCTACAATGGATCAGATGGAATCCCAGGAACTCCAGGACAAAAGGGAGAACCAGGAGTAAATGGAAAAAGAGGAAAAATAGGTACAGCTCCCCTTCATATTAGGTTACAAATGCTGCTTTGAAATCCAAAGAAATTACAGCTATCCAGCTAAGTACAGGTGAAAAATATAACTAGAATGGATATGGTTTGTAGTAAAAATATTTATTAATTGGTGCTTAATACTGGAGCAGTGCTCTTGATACTGAAATGGTTTTTATTTCTAGGTTTGCCAGGACCAAAAGGTGATCAAGGACAGAAAGGAGAACCAGGAGAAATGGGTTTGCCTGGCAAGGATGGTATGCCAGGAGGAAAAGGTGCAAGGGGATCCAAGAGAAAAAAGGGGGATGCAAACAATGATGTGATATTAGAAGGTAGAGAAAAGTGCTCTTGGGAGTTCTCTTGCAACAGTGTACTTGACAGAAAAAGATATGCTCTACTTCTGAAGCATGAATGTGATCTGCAAGGGCAGGACCAACCTGTACAAATAGGGTTTATATACACAGAGAAGTCTGAGTATTGCAATGCACAGGAAATTGTTCTCTTTGCAGGGCAAGTCTTCACAAAAACCTTTGTGCCTGGCCCTTGGGTTGAAGTGTATGTGGATTTCACCCTTTCCAGAATGCTTTCATACATTTGACTTCCTCCTGCTCCAGTGTAGTTTTATTTTTCTATTAGAAAATGAGGGGCAGATTTCCACTCAGGAATCTGTGAAGCAGCCAAATATAAAATGAGCAAAATTACAGCAGTGTAGCATCTGACATGGTAACTCTCAAATGGGCCTGTAATCCACACAGATAGAATGCATTGATGTCCTACTCCTTGTGAAGCTCTCTCTGGTTCACTTTCTAACAAAGAGCATTTCAGAGAGTTTATTGCACCATATTCTGTACTCAGGCACCTCTTAAGAAAGAGAGAGGCTGTTCTGTGGATGTCCTGTGGACATGAACAGCTCTCTGCAGGCTTCCTGCTGCCTGGGGAAGGGCTGTGTCCTGACACTGCATTTTGTACCCAGGTGCAAAAGGTGAGCCTGGCCCACCTGGGCCCCCTGGACCTCCTGGACCCCCAGGGCCTCCAGGAAAACGTAAAGGTAAAGCCAAAGTGGAGCTTCAGGAGAACATCTACAGCAGCAAATGCACAGGTTAGTGCTTTCCAGTGTTCCTTTCCATTAAACCAAGATTCAACCATTGCTTCAAGGTTCACAACAGACAGCATGAGTTTAATTTTCTGGCACCACTAAAACTGCATAAGTTTAAAGCTGAACATGTGCTCAGGTGCTTTGCTGAAATACAGCTTGTGTAAGGCAGCAGGCTACCTTCATGTTAGTCTTTTAACTGTGTTTTGGTAATGGTCAGGCAAAGTATTTACAAATGGTGTCTTCTATGAGGTGGGATAAATTTGGAAAGTAAGAGAAATGCAGCTGAAACAGTTGGCTTTTAGATAATGAATACTTAATTTTAGATGTAAATATAAACCCCTGATTCTGGACATGGAAGTGTCAGAACAGAGCCCAGGGAGCCTTCTTTACAATGGACAGGAGAGAGCTGGAGCAGAAATCTCATCCTATTTGAAATTCAGAAATGCATGAACTGTTGTATGAGATAATTGGGCCATTTGCTCAGGTGGCCTCTTTTCAAGTCTTGAAACAAACTGAAATGCTTTGGAGGATAAGCTCTCTGATGGATTTCTGATGGATTTTAAATTGCAGCAGGAAAATGGGAGTTACACTCAAATAACTCTGCAAAGATAAGATCCTCCTCAATGAGCTTTTATGTTTTATGACTCAGCAAACCATGAGATCTTATTACCAAATTTCAATGAATAATCGAAATTTTGTAATTAAATATTCATTACTATTTCAAGGAAAGAAAATACATATGCTGAATTACAATTGTAATTAACTTATTGCATAAGAATACAAGCCTGGCTTTTTCAAAATAAATTTTGAATCTGGTAAAACTTAGCTTCTTCAAGAGAAGAGAATAATTAGTTGCAAGTGCAGGTATATTTTTTCTCTCTGGTACTTCAGTGAATTCTGGAAGAAACAAAACATCTCTGCTCCATCCTTCCCACCTTCCCCAACAGACCAAATGAATAGTTTTAATGACTTTTAAACTCCATTAATTCTCAACCAGAATATTTTATGATAGGAAGCAGCAGGGTATTTATCTTGGTTTTTGATGGGAAGTAGTGAAAATTTCCCATAAGAATCTCTGATTGAAAACTGTCTCTTTAATTTTAGTTGCTTTTTAATCCATGCAGCTGGAAGTACTGCAAATATTCTCAAAGGCAAATAGTGCACTCAGCTCTGCTACAAACACTGACCTGGCCCTTGGCTATCCTATAGTTTTAGATAAACTCCTGTACAGGAAACTGCTCCTTCAGTCAGCTGCATCTATTAGACTCAGCCCAAGAAAAATCAACTTGTGCATTGCAATTTATAATTTCTGCTGAGTGATTTTGTTTTTTGAAATGTTCTGGAAGTATTTTGGGATCAGAAGCTGGAAGGGGATCTCAAGGGATTGGTAAATTCTATCTGTAGGCATTCAGCTTACCATGGCTGGGTGGACTGTTTGTGCCTGACTTGGAGATACACGGTGATCACTTGCAAATTTTCCATGCCATCTCACCAACGCCCTAGATAATGGATGGGAAAAATACATGTTGTTCTTGCTCCATCTTGGAGTAGTTTTCTTCTGCATGAACAAAAGGAGGATATGACCTAAAGGAGAAAACAACAATGCAGTATTATCTGTCCTTTCTTTCCTGAATGTCATGGTACCCTTTCAGCATTACTTTATATTTTTTTCCTATTTTTAACTATCTTTGTCACTTAAACTTCATCACAGACCTGTAAATCCTAGAAATATATTAGAAGGCAACAATGAAAATGCTAAAGTCTAAAAAATGTGCAGCCTGTGTGTAAAGCACAGCCTGTGTGAAATGCTGGAGATAAAAGTTAAGAATGGAATTAGAAAACAAGGCTACAATGAAACCAGCAGAAAGATGAGAACTCTTCTCTGTGGTTATTCATTCTAAGCAAACTGAAATGTGTCACATTGTTTTAAGGGCAGAAGTGATACTTGGCTCTAAAGAAAATGGTCCATAAATAATTTAATTCAGGCATTATTTTAAGAGTGAATGCTAAGAGAAAATCCAGCCAGCTAGTCTTTAAATTGCTGTGGGGCGGGGAAAAATATTTCCAGGTGTTTGATTCTAATGGGATTCTAAGCATTTCTATGTGTGTAAATAATAGAATGTGTCATTTCCCTTAATATTTCATCCTGCTTCTTTAGTGGCATGGATGTCAAGCTCATGCATTATGTACTCAGTGCATGTGTACCTGTTTTATTGCTGTCTCAGGCATTAACAGCATGAACAAAATGTTCTGTTGCCAACAGGATCCACTCTCTCTTCTGGTCTGTGGGGATTTGTGCATGAAGGTTTTGTGTTTAACAACTACTCCTTCCCAAGAAATGCTTTTTGTCTTACTACTAAATCAGCCATTTTCCAGCTTGCTCAGCTGCTTGAAGTTATGTCATGAAAAGGGCAACTCTCTCTTCCTAAGTAGCAACTCAGAAATTCACAGCTAAGAAACGAAATCTATTGATTTAATTAGTTACTCCTCAAAGTTGACTGTTAGCCTCAACACTTCATTTCCTTGGCAGAAGTGAGAACAAGTCTTTTCTTATCTCATTTCTGACCACACCAACATAAGCATTTTTTTTTCCAGATGAAGCAAAATCCCAGTTACTATTGCTTTATTTTAGTGGAGTCACTGATGTGTCCATCTATCATGTCAAATAGGGTAAAACATGTCATTTTTCTCTTTCTCCCCCCACCCTAGATGAGATTTGTGGTGTACCAAATGATGATACCCTCGCTGGAAAGGCTGAAGACAGAACCCCAGAACCTCCTTCAAAAAAAGCTGGTAACCTGCTACCAAGTGTGACTTGAGTGCTACTTTCTCTCTCAGTGTCACAGATCATGGACATGTGCTTTTTTCCCACCAGAATGTGTCATAACGTCTGTAGGAAGTCCTGATCAGTATGTCAGTGTACAGCAAACGTTTGGAACTTGGATGAGGGAACCTGCAAACATAAGTGATGAAAGGATTTGGCTCACCATGCATTTTTCAGGTATTTTTAGTAGTAGTCACTGACCAAAAATCTGTTAGTATCTGACATTGCTTCCTTAATCCTTTCAACCTAAACTTGTAAGAATGATGAGTTTTTACCCACCTCTTTTTCAGAATATTTTCCATATTACCTGTTTAACACTAGACTATACATATGGCTGTAGGCATTTTACACATATCTTTAGACATTTTCAGAGTCAACATCAGATTTTTAAAATAGCTTTATGTTTGGGTTTTTTTTTACTAAATCCAAGTTTATATGTCTATTGTTTGTGGCCTTTATCCTTTTCTTTGAAGAGTTTCTGTATCCTATGGCTTTACTTCCCTAAATTGTAGCTCGGAGTTTTGCCTTTTTGTTTAGCTAGGCATGAAAATGAAGCAACTGCTGCATAAACTACATTTAGAGCAGGAAAATGTCCAGGACCTAAGTGGGAAAAGGAAATATTTCTGCATACACATCAAATGTGCTCAGAATGAGGACCTATTAGGTCTGTAGGAAGCAGGCTCTTGATCATCTTTTCTATAATTACTTTTGTATGTCTCTGGATGCTTTTTTCACATTCCAGCAAGTTGAATCACTACTGAAAACACAAATATGATTGTTTGTCTGATAGTTGATTGAGATGGACTTTCAGTAGAGACTGAACTTTAGTACAGAGATCTCAAAATTAGATGAACCAAATGATAGTCCTTTTTTTGCAACATGTTTTCCTCTTTGTTTAGGAAACTATATAAAAGAATATGAAAATTTCGATGCCTTGGTGAATGGCAGCTACAGGATCATTAACATCACAGGATTTTTCTATGGATGTGGTCATGCAGTACAAAACAACCATCTCTACTATCATCAGGGAGGAACCAGTTACATTCAGAAGTAAGTCAAAGATAGTTGGCCTAAGACAAATGAAGTTGTGAAAGGAGGAGCAATGGGTTGGAGTGCCAGAGCTGAACCTCAGAAAAGCAGACAATTCTCCTTGTAGCATTTTGTACTTTTTTTGGTCCTACCTAAACAGGAAGAACCAGAGGAATGGTTCAGAGCTTTTTCCAGAACAGAACAACTCATTCTTTCCAATCTGTAACAAGAATATGGGCCACCAGCCTTCTACTTTGTGTGTGCAGATGTTGTGGGAAGAGGAAAACTGGGAGAATAGCTCAGGACCACTACTCTGCTGTGGCAATTCTTTAGGCATTGTTCAGCCCTGTGTCTCAGGGGTTCACCTCTGCAGTTACCATGTCATAGAGCAATAGGTCCCCAGGATGAACAAGATGCCATGTGCAGAGAGGACAACAAATTCTCCTCTTGGCTCTCCTGGGATCCAACCAGGTAGATCCTGGTTCTATTGAACATTACATCGCTGTGGGTGTTCTTCAGCTTGGATTCTTTGCTGTGCTCATAATCACAAGAAAGAAGTGAGAACTGACTAAGGAATTTGGGTACCAGAAGAAAGGATTACATTTAGAAGAATAAGCTGTGCACCTACCTGCATCTGAGTCAGAAGTGGTTCAGCTGCAATGTGGGAGATGTAGGTGGGTGGTTTTGTGGCCATGACCTACTCATGGAACTTGGCTTTGCAGAGCCCTTGCTGTGCTCTGCTCTGGCTGGCAGCAGCAGGGAATGCTGCTGGCACAGAGGGGTGCACTGAGGCACCTGCTGAGGACAGGGTGACCTGGAGAACTGCACATTCCACCAGGGGGGAGTGGCTCCAGTGTTTGATTTCCTCATAATAAGAAGTTTCTACTGCTTTCCTGATACATCTCCCCAAACTAGAACTGAGAATTACATCTCTTATTTAACTTTCTACTGTGGACAGAGACAAACAATACAAATCAACCCCAGAATCTCACCTTGTGGGAAGAGCCAAAGACAGTCCAAGGGCAAGTGAAAGATTGCTTGTTCTTTCAAGTTCTTACACGACTCTGATGTCTGAGCCAAGAACATTTACTATACTTTGATGTCTGTTCCCAAGCAGGTGTGAGTGCTGCCTTCCTATACTCGTGTGCATGCCAAGGAATGTGAGCAAGCTGCAAGGATTCTATAATATTTATTCTGCCAAGCACAAGCTCACTTTTTGGCAGCCTCCTTTAAACATATTTTGGCTTTTTCTCTGGTAGTCTGTAAAAGACCATCACTGTCTAAGCCATACACAGTGATAGGGCAGAGATTCCTCACCTTTGCTTGCATTACCATTACTGGGAAATGCCTTCATGTACAGATGAACACAAACTGTTGGTGGAATTTTCAAATCCTCTCAAGGAACTGTTGAGAAATGGCCTTTCTGTTCTGTTCTTCACTCTGAGATTATTTACCTTCAGCACAGACAGAATGAGGCACTATGGATTCTGTGACATTGAAGTCCTTGAATTTGGGCTCCATAAAAGCTTCTGGGAATTGTTGTATTGTTTTAATGGAAAGTAGAGGTGAGGATCTGGTTAGTCCATTTTGCAAATGTTGAAAAAACATTCAAAAAGAGTTTCTTGTCATATTTAAAAGCAGGTAAAACTAGGTTTGTCTGAACCTTGACAGGTTTTCTCATGACAGTCAGACCTCCAACATTGTGATAGTTTCATTCTTTTTACTTTGTTTCATAACATGCTTTACTATCTCTGTTATTTTTGATTGACTTTGTTGATATTAGTGATCAGAAAAATGTTTGTAGCTTGATTTCTGGTGGTTGATGAAACTATTACACTATATATTATCATTTACTCCAAGATGTCAGAAAATTAAAGAATTTCAGAACCGTTTGGAATTCCAGACTGGACTGTCCCTGAGTGGGGGAGCCCAAGAGAACCTGGGAATTAAACTTCACTTTTTTGCTCCCTTCCAGATTTTCATGTGTAAATAACAGGAAAAGATAGGGTGTCATGTGCTGCAGAACTTGTGAATCTTGAGGTGCTTTCTATCTTGTTGGCTTTTAATAGAAAAGAATCCTGAAAAAAATCTGCATTTCTGACCAACTAGTCCTGTTAAGGTCTGTCCTTTTTGCCCTTGCATGAGGTTATTTATAGATGTGAAACAATGAACAAGATTAACAGGGCTGACATATGTATTTCTCAAATCTCTTCCAGCCTTTAACTGTTTTTTTTATTGCACATACATGCTGCTGGAATATGGAGTTGCTGCAGATGTTTTACAAAAGCTGAGGGGAATGACCTAAGTTGAGTATTCTTGACTTTTCTTACCATGATTTTTCCAATATATGCTATCCATGCTGCTTAAATAGAAAAATTATTCTTCCAGTATTGCATGTTTCTGGATCTGAACTGTTCCTGTGATTAAGCCTATCTTTTCAGAAAAAATACTTGCAAGTGTAGCACATTCCTTTATTGAGTAGTATTTTTCCTTCCTCTCTTTGAAGCATGGAGCTATACAGTGAGAGAGAAGTCAGACACTGAAACGTGCTTCTTTGCAGAGGGCGTTATTTAAAAAGATAAAGCCATGCTCTCCCTGCCTTTGCTGAAGCCCAGTGTTAGTGGGTGATTAAATGCTGACAGCAGATGTGTCTCAGGAAGAGCTGATTACCCTCCTAAAAGGACCAGTAAAGGAACATGATTTAGCTGCTCACTGCTCCTGCCCTCAGATTATCAACCTATTAAGGAATCTCAAGGAATAAAAACAATTTTATACATCAGAGATGGAAATATTCAGGCTGTCCCTTTGAGGTCAGCATAAGGTCACCATTTTGGCTCTGCAAAAGTTGGATTTTAATTCCTTTGATGTCTACTTGAGTAAACCACTGCATTATCTGGACTGTTTTCATCAGAGGAACTCCGAGACTAGGTGAAGCTGCCCAGAATTCCTCCTGCTTTGGTCAATCACATTTTCTTCCTTTAGCTCCCACCTAGTCCATAAGCAAGCTTTTGTATAGATTCCATTTCCCAATTTTGGGCCTTCACCTGGTATTCAATTCTTTTTCATACCCATTCCTTTTAGTTGCTTCTTTCATCTTGGTGCTAATAAAGCTCATAGACTAAATAAAGAGAAACCTACCAAAAGCAAATCCATGCTCTTGTGCACCTTTCAGATTGGTTATGACTTTGTAATTTTCTCCCGGTGCTTTGGAAGGTCCTTTGAGAACTTAGTCTTAAAGACATCAGAATGCTCCTTGAATAGGTATTTTCAACACCACCTCTATCAGTGATTCACCACCCTGTGTGTGTGAGATGAGCTCTGGTCACCTGTACTGAATCCTTGCTGTATCTCATTTCAGGGTTGGGCTCAATACAGCCTCACGGCACACCCTGCACATCAAGAACGCCTTACACCAGGGCAAGAACTACCTCTTCTCTAACTCCAAGACATATTTCAACATAGCAGTGGATGAGAAGGGTCTCTGGATTATATATGCCTCAAGCACTGATGAAAATATAATGGTAGCCAACGTTGATGAAGAAACCTTCTCCGTCAATTGGCACATCAATACCAGCTATCCTAAGTCCAAGGCTGGTAATGCATTCATAGCATGTGGCATTCTGTATGTTACTGACACTAAGGACATGACAGTAAGTTTTGCTTTTGATTTGCTGAAAGGGAAGCAGATTGATGCAAGGTTTAAGTTACGGTCTTCACAGTCTGTTCTTGCTATGCTTTCGTACAGTCTGCGAGACAAGAATTTGTACACGTGGGAGAATGGAAGCTTAATGGTATACCCAGTCCATTTTGGCAGATGAATATATGTTCACATGCCACCTTTGACTAAAGGATCTGTTTAAAGCTCTATGACATACACATGGGGGTCTCTTCACTTGGTATAAGTTTCTGTTTGCTGATTGTGGTTTGTGAGTGTGTATGAAAGGGAGATCAGGTGCCTTTGTATGAACACACTTAGATTACTGTCCTCATCTTTTTAAAAAATTGTTGTTCACTATTGCAGATGGCACACGGCATAGACATACTTTTGTTTTTCCCATTACTCAGCTGATAATTGTGTCTAATGTACATTGATTATTCCATGGTCATGTGCTCAGCAGAGACTATTTGTAACTTTTATTTAAAATCATCTTCTCTGCAATCATTTTCTAGTCAGTGATGATGGTCTAATATAAACACCTAAATAATGAACTTTTGTGTACAAATACCTTTGTCACTTTCATTTAATTTCCATGGATTCTGTGTGACCACTTTTTCTGGACAAAGTTTTAAAAATCTAAAAATAATGGGAATGGAAATTCTTGTTTAAATAGAAAAAAAAGCAGAAAGCTTAAAATTTGACATGTCAAATCAACTGTTAATAATCAAAAGCAAAATCCAGCTAAAGGAAAATGGAATAATGCCATTAAATACAGCTGAATAGACATGAATTGTGTTTCTTTAGAATTAAAGACATAACCATTAAAATTAAAATTTCATTTTTAACAATATTTGAGTTTCTTGTGTTGCTGCAGACTCTTCCTTGGCTCTCACTGCCATGCAAACTATACCAGTATAACTTGCTTATAACTATTTAATAAGGCATATTACTAAAATAAAATGTCCCCACATTCATCCACACAAATGAAATCATAAAATGAAGGGTATACTTTTTTGCTGCTATTTTTAGAATCATCATACTGCTTAGTGACTTCATCTGTTGTTAACTGTAAGTCTGAGACTGCCAATTCACATTCAAATTTTTGAGTTAAAGGTGAGAAATAATAGGAATTTTTTTATTTTAATTTTGTTCTGGTATTTCAGATTGCTAAATTTAATGGTGGAACAAAAAGCTGTCTTGTTGTTTTATGTATCTAGATTCAAAATCATGCTCTTGGAAAACCCCTACCTAAATTTCTAAGCTGCCTGTGCATATTGCTAAATTTCATGGAGTGCACTCAAATACTTAGGAGCAAAGTGTTATTTAAATCCTGAACTGCACTGAGCTGTTTAATACCTGTGTGATCCAGGCCCTGTTGAAGGGATTAATGAATTTGGGAATGTCTGTGCCTGCAGAACCTTGTTTAGCAAATCTGCTGGAGGAATCCCTCTGCTGCAGCTAAGCTCCAGTGTGTGGCACAGGGATGGCTGGGCTCCTCTGAGGATACTTGCTGTTATCACTAAGGCCTTGCATGCTAAGGAGAGAGATGCAGAAAAGGGAACAAAAAATCATGATTAATGCTTTGAACTAGTTTATACATCAGAACTCACAGACTAAAAATTCTACCTATACCTGTGTGACACTTCACACTCCAGAGCTACAGTTCTGTTGGCTGCTTGTGACTTTTATGGGGGCATGAAGGTTTTGGTTGGCAGTTTTTTTCATGTTTGTTTGACTGTGGTATTTTTTCAAAAATGGAATTGTGGCACTAATACCACAATACAGCTAAAATACCCCTAAAGTCAGCAATATACTTGGGCAAATACAAAGTCAGATGTGATATTTTCTAGATAATGTACCTATCTCAAAGTTTGGTAAACTTCTGCATAACATTGTTGAAACACTTGGATCAATCTCTTGGAGAAGGAATAGCAAGGAAATTCTACCTCTTTTGTTGTCTTCTTGCAGCTGTGGAACTTAATTCTGTTAACCTTGCACTTGTCAAGAACAGCTGAAAACAAAATGTAAACAGCTAATCTTTTTTATTTCAGTACAGTCTGAGGTCAAGTTAAAGCTAACTCGGGAAGTATCCAGTCAAAGTACTGGAGATTTAGATAAATCTGTTTAAATATAAGGAAGAGTTCTAGAATGGGCTGTTTCATGAAATAAAAGTAATTTATTTAACTTACAAAGGGATAACTAAACAGTGACATTTACCCTTCCTTCTTTTCATACTTCTCCTACTTCACAAGCTGCAATTTAAAATCACCTTTGGAGAAAGGTGCTTTTTATTCTAGTATATCTTACAATACAGCACAGACATCAAAATTTCATTGGAAGAATAAGACAGTTTGTTAACATTTAAATACACAGACATCCATTCCAGTCCTTGAAGAACATATTTTTTGTTTACAACAGAAAAATACATCTGACAACAGTAGCTAGTTTATATTACAAGCAAACAATATTGAACTCTGCATAGTTTATACAATATACTCTGGTAATAACTTAATTACCAGTTTTATCCACTATTTACTAGCTGGCCACATAAAGCCTGACATTCATCTGAAATGTGGCATTATATGTTCCATTGGTATTCTCTTAACAGCTTCATTTAATGAAGTATTTTCTGGACAAATGATTTTCAAAACTCAAAGCTGACTAAAATGCTGGATGTCTTCACTACAAACATTTAGTGCTTACAATACATTCCTAAAGTAAAGGCAGGTGTCCAATAGAAAACATAGCTCAGAAAGAAAGGAAAATACTGTGCAAATTAAACCCCATCGCATTTAAAAATGTATTGATGTGCAAGTTACAGTATCAACTGTGCAATAATACTAACTGGGAAAAGAATCTCAGCATAAAATAATACATCTCTCACAGTACATCCTTGATTGCACATGTTCCACGGCGTTTGCATCCATTACACTTCCTGCAGAAATCAAATACACTGAGTACCCTTAATTAAAACTAAACTATTTTACAATGAGAAGTTGTATACATGCTTCATTTAGCGGGAAAAACTGGAATAAAAGTAATCAGAATCACGTCAGAAATGCTTACTGACTTGTAGAGCCACAGTGCTTGTGAAGTGACTGACAACTGTCAGGATCTTTACAACACTCACAAAATGCAGCTTGTGGGTTACTGAGCAATAACCCCCCCCATGACCAACAATACTGGGTTGAATTCCTTGCTTTTACAATCCAGTACATGCATTTCCTCCCCAGTGATCCTTATGGGCATAGTCAAAATATACCTGCTGTGAAAGTGTTGGTTTTCTCCCCATAACATTTAATGCTGCAGTAACTGATTTGAAAGGAAACACAATGTTTTCTTTCCACAGTGCATATCACTGTGTTTTTAGCTACTCATAGGGACATTATAGAAACCAGGATTAGCTCACAGAACACTACAGAATGTCAAAAATGCCTGAAGGTACATTGAAAGCATTGGGAAGGACCCTCATTTTCAGTGTGCCATCTGCTCCACAGGAGAAGATACGATTGCCTTGCACAGTCTCAATCTGCGTGACACCAGCACCAATATTTCTGAAAAGGGATTGCTTAGCATGTTCATTTTTAAATGAATGAATTAAATTGTAGCCGGTCAGTCTCCACACCTGTATCAAAAGAATGACAAAAGGAGATAAATTATAAAGGATTTGTATTATCCCCCCAATGTTTCAGATTCCTGGCTGTTTTAAACTCTATTGAGAAAGATAAAGGATATTTTTTGTTGCCTCATTGCAGCAATTACTACAAGTCCAAGAGTATTGAGAGGCTGCTGATGCAGTGTAAGGCTGCCTTACTGTGGACCAGCTGGGTATTGGGCAGGGTGAAGCTTCCCTATGTTACCTGATCAGAGTCCTCCTCCCAGCTGCCCCCCAGGAAAGCTGCAGAGATGGAAAGGTTGCATTTTCATTTAAGACGACTTAAGGAAATGCTTTCCTGCTAAGGAATGCTGCAGAGAGTAAGCTGCACAGTTAATAAGTGTGCAGAGTGGTAGGAAGCACAGCTGCCAGTTCTGTCCTAAGTAGCAGGAGCCTCAGCAAGGCCAGGCCATGAAGGCCCCTTTAAAGCAGTCATCCAGAAAAGGAAAGAAACTGTATTCACCTTGTCTTTGCCATATTGTATTTCCTTCCCTTAGTATTCAGGTAAAATGGTCCTTACAACAGGGACTGTATTTCTGTGGTGGTTTGTATTTTTTTTGGTGTTTGTTTGTTTGTTTTGTTCATTTGTTTTCATGTTGGTGTTTATTTCTTGCTACTCTGACCTCTCAGTAGCTGTCTGGGGCTACAGCATCAGGAGAAAAAATAGAATTTGGTGATATAGAAACTTTACACAATGTTGAAGTTGCTGAGCGCCCCCTGTGCTACAAAGAAATGTCCAACAGCAAAGCCAGAATATTTTTAAGTGAGTGAAAAACAAAGGTAAGATTTCAGAACTGTGCACTTTGCTTTATCCACTTAAAATTAGTCTTGCAACCTTAAGAAGACTATCCTTTAGAGGGGGAAAAAAACCTACTTGCTTCAGTAGGTTTTCAATGCCTACCAGTACATTTCAGTTTGCAGCATAAATGTAAAGCAGGCTATACACCAAGTGTAGGTTTGGGGTTTTGAGGACTGTTTTTGTTTTGTTACTGCATTTCTCTGGCTATTTCCATAAGACCAATACACTGCTTCAGCCAAACACCCTCCTCCAGAAGCCAGCTCCTCCATGCCTTACCTTCATGTTGCCTTCAGCCGAGCCCGTGACAAAATAGTCCTCAGAAGGATCCAGGGCAAGGGCCTTCACAGCTGACTCATGTGCTTGGAAGGTGAAAAGGATTTGCCTCTGTCTGATGTCAAAGATGCAGATATATCCCTTCCTACCTCCAGAAATGAGCAGTTGATGCTTGGGTGCATACTGAAGTACTGTGGCACCGTGGTCATGACAAGTGAAGGCTGAGGAAGAAGGATGTCAGAATTTAATAGATTTGAAACTGTAAGTAGCTCTCAATCTTAAAATGACTTTCTTCTGTAACTTGCTACCTGAATATTTTCTAACTTTGCAGACACATTCCTTCATATGGGTAATGTCTTATCAGCTGACAGCTTAGTGATCTCATAAGAAATATCTAGGTCTAATGCACAAGAAAGCACGCTCTGCAGTCTAAGTTACTTTAGAATACAGGGTCATACCTGAATTTAAAATTTGAGAAAATACAAAATTCACTATATGAAGTTCAGATAAATTCCTGTTTTAGAAAAAGTATAGCTGATCTTGAGCAACCTGGCCCAGTGAAAGGTGTCCCTGCCCCAGGCAAAGGGAGTAGAAAGAGGTGATTTTTAAGGTCGCTTCCAACCCAAACCATTCTATCATGTTCTTTCTTCATACTTTTCCATATGGAGCAGATTAACATCATGGTAGAGAACATGCAGAACCAGGTGCATGTATTAATGTGCAACACAAACTTAGATCTGCTCCCCAGGATAAGGTTTTCCCCTTGCCCCAAATGCACACACAAGCTGTATTTCCTTAGTCAGTAAGAAGCAGAGGTTTAATTTCACCAGAGTACTTACCATGTATAAGACTGTTACTAGATGAAACCAAGGTGTCCCAGAGGCACACATTTCTGAGGGAGAAAAAAACCAAAATCATTATGGCCTATTGCCAGGTGACTCATGGGGCGCCATGACTTCAAAAGTGCTCATATTTTATGTCAGTCTAGAAGGCAGAATTGAACACTCTGCAGTCATTGAAGAGCATTTGCAAAGAACTAAGAGTTTTAATTATTTTCTTTGCTCTTTTATGCTTCTTAGTGGAACTATACCTTCTACCCTTAAAATGTGCACTGATCAAAGGT